AGTATGAATTAATTTTTACTGCTTTCTTGTTGCACATTGCAGTGATCAATGATAACAACTTCAATGGAAGCATACCGAATTTATACAAAACTGGAAGCAACTTTATGATTGTAAATGATCTACTTTCCTAAAGATTTTCGACTCATATTCTGGTTCTCGATGTTCTTGATTGTGGTTGATGCAGGGAAATTCAAGGTAGTGGACTAAAAGGACCAATTCCATCATCCCTTCCCTTTTGAAATCTAAATCAATTGTGAGTGAATATTTCTAACTAGTCAACTACAGAATATGCATTATTTAATACATAACTTATCAGATTAATTTACATAATGGTGCTGATGAAAGGATCTGTTCACATTGACACTCTTATGTACAGTAAGATTAGTGACATAGATGGAACAAATCAGACTTTTCCTGACTTAGCAACAGTACCCTCCTAGACGGATGTAAGTTCATTGCCTATTCCTATTTTCTGCATGTAGATGGAGTAAATAGTCACCATACAATTGTCACATCTTATCATTGTTTTCCAGGACTTTGAGGAACTGCAATATTCGGGAAAATACCTGGATACGTCTGGGAATGAATAAACTGAGAGTTCTGTAATTACGTTAGATCTAAACTATCAATTGCAATGATTTTGTTGAAAACTGAAAACTTAACTTTCTGTATTGCATGTATGACAATGTACAACTTAGCCTACTCTCAAATGTTTTATTTAGTTAAAGGAATTGATTGTGTAGTATTTATTTAGTACTATTTTTGCTCTGTCTATGTTCCTTGCATATCCATATGCTTATCTTTTGGATATATCTTTTGTTTTCAAATAGGGATCTCAGTTTTAACAAAATAACTGGAAACTTCCTAATTGCAGTCCCTGGGGATTTGAAATTCATGTAAGTTAATGAAAGCCAATTTTCCAGATTTTTAGTTTTTGTTTTACAGTCCAGCACACTAACTGCTTGATATGGTCTTCATCAGCTTTCTAACTGGCAACCTTCTCAGTGGGAATATACCAGAGCTCATCTTACAAAAGAATTACTGTGTGTGTATCATATTCTCTGAATCCTTTGAGTTCTCTTTAGCATTTATATTTGTTACATGCATCTGATATAGGTTAACAACATGAATACACTAATCATTTATTGAAATCATTTATAGATTATTAACTTTTATGTGTACTCATATTAGTTTTAGAACCAAGATGATTTGATGAGTTTTTTTTCTCAATTGCTCATTATCATATATGAAATATCCAATTCTGTTTTTTTTTTTTTTTTTTTTTTTTTCTTGCAGTGATCTTCCTACAATAATTTCACTCAGCCAACCCTTGAACACCGTGCTTGTCGACGCACAGTCAGTAAATTTCTCTATTTTATTGAACCAATAACTACTGTGTTTACTTCTCTGTGTCACATTCTGATTGGTGGATCCCAGAGCTGATATTTGCTTAATAATTTGTTATGTTACTAGGGAATTCGATCTGAACTTGTTTCGAAGTTCTCGGTGGCAAACAACTTGTGAGTTCCCTTTTTTGGCCTTTTTGCTTAGTGGGCCTTAGCAATCATACATCAAGAAGTTTGCTGGATAGTTCATCATTTCATCATCATCAATCTTCATCTCCACTTCTTGTTTTTAAGATCTTTTAGGTTTAGGGAGACAGATTCTTGAACTTTAGTCTCATTTTGCACTTTGCCATGTGAGACAGAGCCGTATAAGATTGCCCCTGCTGACGTGTTTGTGATAATCTGTCAAGAGCAACAGTTCTTCTCTGACAATTTTAGAATTAACAAATAATGTAATTTGTTTTCATAGTCTCATGAAGGAGTATGCTCTTGACCTCAAGTGTTGTCTCTATTATGCTAACTGTTTTTTCTTTACTCAAACTAGAAGTGGAGTTCTCCATGCAAGACTGCAGAAATGTCATCGACGAGTATGTCTAAAAATCCAGATCAAGATAATCTCTGTTTTCTATACATAAATGTTCTAACCATTGTTAACAATACTAAAGCTCTTGCTGAGGTGGTCTTCCACATTTTCTTCTTTTCACACTCTGCGCTCTTTCTACATAATTGTGGTGGAAATATGTAAAGAAATGGCACCACATTTGAAGGAGATGAGAAAAAATGGTGGTGTTGCAACATATTATTCAAATGATCTTGGGGATTTAGTAGCACTGGAGACTTCGCAGATGATGATGAACAGAACAATATTGTTCATCATCTGTGCATCATCAGACATTTCAGAATTATTCATTAATGCTCGCATGCTCCTCTTTCACTTACTTATTTTGGATATTGCTTACAAAATGGGAATTATGTTGTCAGTCTATATTTTGCGGAATTCAGTTCAATGAAAACACATATCCAGCCTTGGGAGGCCTGTTTGATATTTATATTCAGGTATCAATCGTATCCATTTCCAATATCTTGTTACACATGATTCTAAGCATGGGCTAAGTTTCAAGCTGCTATGTTCTTGGAGCCACAGTTTGGGTCATAGGTTCAGCTGGAGTTAGTTCCTTACAGAAATGACATACTGAAAAGGTTTCACGGGATTCTTATTTTGCAGGACAAACTAGTCGAGAGGGATTTCGACATAGAAGCTAAGCTTCAGGGGTTCTGAAGCAGTACAAGAAAATATAATGCTACGTCACAGATAACATTTTACAGATCCGTTTAATTGGGCTGGCAAAGGGACTACGGCGCTCCTGAAGGGGAGTCTATGGCCCCCTCGTATCAGCAATTTCTGTGGTGGATCCCGTGAGTGATTTCTCCTCTTCTAATTTCACATAATACAATCTTGTCAAACAATGTCATATAAATGCTATTGTTGTAGAAGAGACATATAATGTAATCTACCTTCAGTTATGCATTAGAAATACATTAACAGATGTGAGAATATGCAACTTAGCGCATATATTACTGAAATTATAAATTTTGTCTTATTAAACTCAATACACGTGCACCGGAACAAAGAGTTCACATTTCCCCTGTTTCATCCATTTGATCACAAGAGAATGGTATACTTAAGTGATCTATTTATAAAGTTCAGTTTCATGCCTAAATCCTTATGTATGTTTCTGATTATATAATTTCTGGTGGGTTTTCTTGGCAGACTACAAACCTGCAAAAAGAAGAAGATTGTAGAAATCATTGCAGGTGTTGGATCATGTCTCATAATCTTGGCATTGGTATCATTGGTTGGAGATACTATTCAGAGTCAAGAGGCGTAAAGAAAATGGTTTGGTCTTCTTTAATCTTGTAGATTTTTGTTGCAACCATGTGTTCGAAGAAAGTTTTTAACTCATCTTTCTACCTTTCGACAGATGTTTTAAAAGAATCAGATCTACAAACAATTTCTTTTACCTGAAGCAAATTAAAGCTGCCACTAACAATTTTGATCCTGCGAACAAGGTCGGGGAAGGTGGTTTTGGACCTGTTTCAAGGTATACAATCTGATCTTTAATGCCACAATGATATATCATTCTTAAAAATGACTTTCTCCAATGTCTGCTAAGAATATTTACATTTTCTTTTTCCTGTGCAGGGTCGTTACCTGATGGTACTATATGCTGTGAAGCAGCTCTCTTCAAATTCAAAGCAGGGAAACCGAGAATTCTTGAACGAGATAGGCACGATTTTAAATATTTGTGTCATTGTTTGGGGATCACATAAGATAATGAGACAAGGTTAATGAAAATTTGTTTCAAGGAAAGCTACATAAAGGTTGTAATAGGCTCAAATTATAGTATATCCTAATAAATGTGTCAAGAAGCGAGGACCACCATTGAAACTGAGCCTACAGCAAGCTAATATTAACAAGTTTGTCTACAGCTTGAATCTTCATTTTATTTTTATTAGATATGCATGAGGTTCATTTTTCTTTGACAATGATTCCATCTAATGGAAGAAAAAACTAGGATACTAATAGGGTATTCATTGGTGCTCTTATTTGAACGATAGTTTTAGAGTTTCAGAGAATTAGTTGAGGTGTACGTAAGCTAGCTCGGATACCTCCGATCATGAAAAAAAGAAAAGGAGCTTCAATTGTAATTAGGTATATGTCATGTAATTGTAATTAAATATGAAATTAAGAAACAAGCTTCTCTCACCAGCCACAGCCCACATAGTTTGATTGTCCCTTGCAGCTATGTGTTATAACTTCCTATGTTCAATTCAATAAAAGAATTTTTTTTAAAAAAAAAGTTACTTTACACTAAATCAAAAATAAAGGAATATGACAAGAAAGTAGAAGCTGCATGCACCGGGCCATCAATTCTTTGACCCACCCATCCATGAGCCCAATCATACTGGTCCGTCCGACCCTTTAGAATTCATAGTATTGTTGATAACAACGTGTTCTTCATCGGATTTGCGTCGCAAAGCTATCGCCGTCAGACCCATTGAAGTCTCGCCGATGCTTGGCTGTGAAATCTGTCTTTCTCTGTTCGCCGTGAAAATAGAAGTTGGTAGGACATTCTAGTGAGATTGACAATGATATTCACGTAAAAGGGTTCAATAAATGCATGATTGCGTGGTCAAATACAAGTCCGCTAACAAATTGTTTAGGTAGCTGTTCATCTCTTCAATGCCTTAAACAGAGTCCTTAACGAATCTTTTTAACTTTATCCTGATTTGAAATAATTATAATCAACACTTTAGTATTGTTCTTAGTCATGCATGCTGTTTTGGGTCATATCCCATTTAAATGGTTTTGTCGGCTGCTTGCTTTCGTATTATTCAACCATTTGATTTGTACTGTATAGACTTTAATTCCTTTTAGAATTTTCAACGTCTCTGTATAAACACACGGATAATATAAGATTATGAACGCTATATTAATCAAATGGACAAAATGACAAGTTGACAACACTAGTACACTACCAAGTACCAACCAAAAGATGGCTATTTTTAAAAAATTTATACTGTTCAATTTGTAGTTTTTTATGAAAGATGTCCAAAAGTGGTTATTTGTTAAATCACCCATATTATAGATAGATATTGCCATGAACAAAGATCTATGGGAGTAGTTCTGTTTTGTCAGATGATATGATAGCTCGTCGTTTGGATTCCCAGAAATGTTGTTCCTCAAACTTTTACTTCCTTTATCAGTTCTTGCTCTGAGTTACTCATGGACGCAGCTTCTTCTTGCTGCTACGTTGCCTCAAGATGAAGGTATGTACAAATCATGTTCATGTTGCTTCTTTTACTGAATCGTTTTGTGTTAAAGGCTTATGGCTGTTTGTTTGATCCAATTATTAAGTTCTTTACAAGAAAATGAACCAAAAGAACCTAATACTGCTTGAAGATATTGTCTTCGAAAGCATGCTGCTCTTTTTAATTACTTGTACTTGTTGATGGGTGTGTGATGCAGTTGATGTTCTGAATCAAATTGCTCAAACTATGGGAGCTCGTAACTGGACCTTCAATGCTGATGTTTGTGAAGGTTCTTTTGACGTAAGCCGAGTTTTGCAAACGGATCCTCTCAGGAACATTACTTGCGATTGCCAATTTGTCACAGCACCGCCACATTGTATCAATGTAGGTTTCTTTGAACTTGCCTTTTAGCCGGCCTAATTTCAGCTAACTTATATATCGATTGGGATAGTGGTTTATAAGCAATTTTCATCTTAGTTAACATTAATGAGAGATTCATTAATAAATTGCATTACGAGACAATCAGATTTCTATATTTTGGCCCCAAGTTAAAAATCAAAACTTTGTATACTTTCTTGCAAGGACTACTTGATTTGTTATTTTCATAGAACTAATTCTGGGTTTTATTTTCTTTTCAGAAAATTCATGGTGTACAGCCTTCCAGGAACACTTCCACCCCAACTTGTTCAGCTTCCATACCTCCAGAAATGTGAGAATAGATAAAGTCTTCAAAATGTATAATTATATTCTCGTTTACTTATTCAGTTATTTTCGAAGTTTCTTGGCATTTGGAAGTAAGAAAAGGCGAAAATTCTAAATTTAATTCTGTATTGTCTGAATTGCAGTGGATTTTGCGCTAATATTTAATGGTATGTTAATGTGGAAGCCGTCAATGGTACAATACCACAGGAATGGGCGCAATGCAATTAAAATATATGTAAGCTAATCTGACTTTTGATCTGTTAAGACAAATAGAATTTATTTGTCTCATTGATTAATGAAACATCTTAATGTTATTGCAGCTCCATTTTTGGAAACCGATTGTCAGGCAATATTCCAGATCAGTTAGGGAAATTACTAGTCTCACTACTGAGAGCTTTTGTTATGCAACGGAAACATAAACTCTAACGCTAGCTATTGAATATAATAATACAAGTAGTAAAGCATAAATAAATTGCCAAATTAAATGCAAAAATAAAGAATACCAGAAATTAACGAGGTTCGTATTGAAAACTACGTCCTCGGGCGCTGCAAAAAGAAACTCCACTATCTCCAAAACATTACAAATATTTGGGCAATACAACAAATACCCAAAACAAAGGGGAGATACAACAAACTTGCAAACTAAAGGGTCCTTAAAGAAGAACCCTAAAACAAAGAAGTATAATGAATTACAACTTGGGATACAATAACATGATTTAGGTCTTATATATAGGCCCCAAAAGTTTCCCATTTTCATCCTTTCATTGGGACAAACTAACCTTTTTTGGCCTATTACATATAGTCCCTAAACCTTCTCCATTATCATTCTACCCCATTGATTTTGCTAAAAGCCATTTTTCAACAAATCCACCTTGGCGCATTACAAACCTTCAAAGTTTTGTATTCTCTGTCAAATTTTGCAACACCTCAAATGTGCCAAAAGCACAATCAAGCTCGCAGGATGTTGATCAAGTTCAAACAGTGATTGAACTTGATCATTGTCATATATTTGTTAAGACATCTGCAGGATTCTCAGCAGTTCAATCTTCTCTAATAAGATTCTTCCTTCAGAAATAATTTCCGCACAAAGTGGTAACGAACATCTATATGCTTGGTGCGAAAGTGGAATACTGGATTCTTTGCTAAGTGAATAGCACTCTGACGTCAGAATAGATAGTGTTTCTTCTGACTAATTTTCAATTCATCCAATAGCCCTTGTACCAAATAGCTTCCTTCACAGCCTCTGTAATGCCATGTATTCTGCCTCTGTAGTAGACAAAGCAATGTAGACTGCAAAGAAGATTTCCAACTACTGGAGCTCTAGCAAGAGTAAATACATATCCAGTAGTTGACCGACGCTTGTCCAAAATCACAGCATAATCAGAATCAATAGCCAACAGCAAATGACTAAGATTTTCATCCCGCTCAAAAACCAACCAATGTTTACAGTACCTATAATTACCGTAAAATCCACTTCACAGCTTGCCAATGTCCTTTACAGGATCATGCATATACCTGCTCACAATTCCAACTGCATGTGAAATGGCGGGCCTAGTCACACCAATGAATACATCAAGCTACCAACCGCATTTGAATACGGAACTTTTGACATATACTCTCGTTCTTCATGCGTACTTGGAGATAATGACGCACTAAGCTTTATATGAGGAGCAAGTGGAGTACTTATAGGTTTGTACTTTCAGTTATGCCAAAACGTTGTAAGACCTTCTTAGATACTGCTTGTGTCAAACAAACCTTGCCATTTCCTCTATTCTATTATCTCCATACCGAGAATCTTCTTGGCTTCCCCTAAATCCTTCATCTCAAATTGTTTGAGTTGAGCCTTAACTTCTCAATTTCTTCTACATTCTTTGAAGCAATCAACATATCATCAACATATAAGAGTAGATAAATGAGAGTATCACCTTGTAGCCTTTGAAAATACACACAGTGTCAAAATTGCTTCTTGTGTACTCCGACCCATCTAAAACTATCAAATCGCTGTACCACTACCTCGGAGATTGTTTCAAACCATAAAGCGATCTTTTCAGTTTACAAACCCAATCTTCCTTCCAATACTCCTAAATCCTTCTAGGGAGTCATATAGATTTTCTCTTCCAAATCACCGTGTAGAAACGCGGTTTTTCAATCAAGTTGAACAAGTTCAAGATTCATCTGAGCAACAAGGCCAACAAAATTCTAATGGAAGAATGCTTTACAACTGGAGAAAATACCTCATTGAAATCTATTCCTTCCTTCTGAGCGTAGCCTTTCGCCACCAACCTTGCCTGTTATCGGATGTCTTTCAAATTCGGAAATCCTTTTCTTTGCATATACCCATTTGCATCCAATTGCCTTCTTATTCTTTGGTAATTGAACAACCTCCCAAGTTTCATTCTTATGGAGAGACTGCATCTCTTCTTTCATGGCTTTCCTCACTTACCATTTTCGGAACTAGCTACTTCATTATAAGTGGAAGGAACTTCACCATCTTCAATTGGGAGTGCATAGGCCACCGTATCAGCAAAAACGAGCAGGCTTGCGAATTTCTCGTCTTGGCCTATTAACACAATGGATTCTTGTTGAGGTCTTGGGAAGAATCCTCTTCTTCATCTCAATGAACTCCTTATATAGGAGTTCATTTCCAGCTGGGCTAACTGATGTTGTTTCAAACTCACCTGCTAGAGTATGCTCCACCTGTGCGAGTACTGAAAACCTATCTGGCTTCCTTTTTCGTTCTAACATAGAAGACTCATCAAATGTCACATCCCTACTAAACAGTATTTTCTTGAACTTGGACACCAAAGACGGTATCCTTTCACACCTGAGGTAATCCCCATAAATACTGCTTTCTTTGCTCTAGGATCTAACTTAGACTCTTTTACATGATAATAAGCAGTGGATCCAAAAACATGTAAAGTGTCTAATCAAAAACAGGTTTTCCAGACCATACCTCAATCGGCTCTTGCCTTCAATTGTAGTTGATGGAGACGATTAATGAGATGACACGCATTATATAACTGCCTCAGCCCAAAACTCTTTGCCCAACCCAGAATTGGACAACATACATCGAACTTTTCCAGTATAGTTCGATTCATGCGTTCTGCCACCCCCTTCTGCTGTGGTGTATTTTTTACTGTAAAGTGACGTACTATCCTTCATCTTGGCAAACTTTCAAAAAGGATCACTACGATACTCCCCACCATTATCTGTACGTGGCTTGATCTTTCTGCCAGTATGAGTCTCAATCATCTTTTTCCATTTAAGGAAACACCAAGTACGTTATCTTTAGTTTTTATCACATACACACCAAACCTTCTGGAAAAATCATCTACAAGAGACAAATAGTGCATACCCCAAAGATGTTGTTTTGGTAGGTCCCACACATCAGAATGAACATAATCCAAAATACTCTTAGTATTATGGATTGCCGTGGAATTTCACTTGTTTTTCCCAGAACACAATGCTTACAGAAGTCCACTTACAGGTCTTTGCCCTTCAATACGCCTTGATTCACCAAACTAAGTAAGGCTTTTTCACTGCATGCCCCAAACGCATATGCCACAGCTTGAGCATTTCGAATCTGCATCCTTCTGCACGACTGCAGCTGTCGTTTCAATAACTGTACTACCATTATAGTAATACAAGTGTTTTCCTCGTGCCTTTCATTACCAAAGAGCGCCTGAAGAAACTTTTAGAATTCCATCTCGCATATTCACTGTGAAGCCTTTAGATTCCAAGGCTCCCAAGAGATGAGATCTTTTTCAACTCGGTACATACCGAACATCTGTCAGAGTTTAGTTGAGCCATCATGATTCTTCAACCGAATTGAACCTATCCCAGTTGTTTTACAAGCATCATCATTGCCCATATAAACAACTCCACCATCAAGTTCTTCAAAATTAAAGAACCACTCCTTGTGGGGGACACATATGATGGTACAACCTGAATCCATAATCCACTCATTTGATCCAGAGGTGGAGGTGTAGGCTAAACTAGACAGAAATCAGACTCATCCTCTTCACGCTCAACAACGTATGCATCAGAAGTAGCTTTGCCTCTTTCTTTGCAACTTCGGACAACTTCTTCCAATGCCCTTCTCACGACAAAAGGCCATTGATCCTATTGAGTTTTCCCTCTTGAACGAGATCTTCCCTTCTCTCGTTTTACGACCTTGATTTTGACTCCGCCCTCTTGCTACAAGAGCTTCGCTGACTCATCTCTATCTCCTTCTGATCCTTCTTCCGAATTTCATGATTGGACAGAGCAGAACACAACTCTTCAAAGGACAATTTTTCTTTCCATGAAGAAGTGTAATACTAAGATAGTCCAACTCATCTGGAAGAGATCCAATTAACAACATAGACCTTATGCTCATCTTTGAATGTTTCATCCAAATTTAACAAATGCAGCAATAATCTGTTAAATGTATCAATATGGCTACTGATATTTGTACCTGGTCTCATGAGACGAAACGTCTTTTCATCAAATAGAGCCGATTCTCATTACTTTTTTCATGTATTTGTTTTCCAGCGCCTTCCATAACTTATTTGCAGACGTCTCTTTCATGAATGGATATTTTGCTCTCTACAAAGACATGAGCGAATCATCCCACACGTTGTACGTTCAACCTACCCCGTCTTTCTCATAGACTTTTGGTTTTTCCTCCTCCAGAACGATAT